ATTTTTAAGCAATTACATTTTTTATTCTAATGAATTACTTGATGTGCCGATTAATTCATCTAATTAACCGCACATCAATTTTGGCTGAGAAATGACCCTTTAAAAGATCATTTGTAATTTAGATAATTTAAAAATCATTAAACCAAGGATTCATTCAGTAACAAAACACTGCTTTTTAACAAAACAATTTTGTTGATCAAAACAGACAGTATTTAACACAACATTAACTTTTTGAATGGTAAAACCCATAGTCATTTTTTCTGTCTTTCATGTTTGAATTTATATAACTGCATTATAATAGGCTACACGTGTTAAATTTGTTCCTTTTAAAACCAATTCACACCAAATTAGCACATTAATCATGTTATAATAAATAAATAATACATTTATTTTAGAATGTTGTGCTTTTTCTTGTAATAAAAGTATTTAGCCTTTTATTATGCCCTTTTTATTAATTTATTTAGCCTGTAATCATTAAAAAAATGTATATTAATTAGGCAAATATATATAGGCAAAATATTTACTTGCTGTGTACATTATGTGACTTTTGGAATTTTCCTGCCAAAACTGTCTGTTTATACATTTCAGAGTGATAGCTATGTTATGATGCATTTCATATTTACTGAAAAATAGGTATCACTTAATTGCTTTAAATATGTGCAGTAAATTTGCCACAGTTGGTCCCTGAGGATAAAAAGGGGGGAAAAACAAAGTGTAATGTGTGCTGGAATAGCAGGGAAATTTTATATCAGATAAATTTGAACGTGTAAATATGCACAGCTGAAATGAGCTCTGATGTGGAAAATCACATGCACCTTGAGAGCATTAGTCACTCTGGATCTGGTCCATCATCAAATCATTTCCTAAAAAAAGGCCTCATTTTGACATTATTCTGATGTAGTTTTGTTGATTAGCATCAGTTGCATTAAGATAAAAGCGCTTTGAACGTGCGCGCAGTCTATGTGCAGCTCCCATAGTGATTCTGACCAAACGCTTCATTAACATATGATTAACAGAATCTCAATCCTGTCTGCAAGTCTTCGAGGCACGACAGAGCTGGGAATGGAGAAATCCCCACGGACGTCACATGACTCGAGCTGGCTTTGTTCTGCTGCCCACTCTCAATGGTTTACGGTAACAAAAGAAATTTCATGCCAAACTCACCACCTTATCAGGTTTATCTCCATCAGCCTTTGTAACGTTATTAAGATCTAAGCGAATACAGCAGACAAACAGAAAGAAAGACAGATGGAGATGGAGAGATTAGGGGTTAAAAGAAGGGCTGTAGTATTCGCTGGCACTTACATTGGTCCCATTGAGAAAGTTGCCAATAGCTAGCAGAGTTGAAAGGATGCAGCGCAGTGTCTTATTCTTTTCTAATTGGTCCATGCCCTCCTTCAGGTCCTGTAGTGGCTCTGCTACTTCCTGAGAATGAGAAAAAGAATGGGTTTGAAATAAATAGCCTCTAGGAAAGAATTTTGTAGACTTTGTTTCAAGATCTGCTGTTGCAACACAATACAAAAATTGCTCATCTTATAATAAAAAACCCCAAAAGCCCTAACATTGTTCTTACAACAACAAAACATTGGAATTTGTTATATATTAATGCTAATACATTTATATACTGTAATGAAGTAAAGTAATAAATACAGAATAATTTCGAAATTAATACTTTTTAATATTTTTATTCTGCAAGGACACATTAAATTGATCAAAAGTGACAGCAGAGACATTTATAAGATCACAAAAGTTTTTAAATACTGTAAATGCTGTTGATATTCATCAAAAAATCCTGAAAAAAGTATGATGGTCTGCAGGAAATGAAGCAGCACAACTGTTTTTAACTTTGAAAATAATAAGAAATGTTTCTTGACCACCAAATCGGCATATTAGAATAACTTCTGAAGGATCATGTGACACTGAACACTGGAGTAATGGCGGCTGAAAACTCAGCTTTGACAGAAGCAGAAATAAATTACATTTTAAAATACATTGAAGACATTCAAATTTAAAATGTAATAATATTTCACATTATTAGTTTTTACTGTATTTTTGATCAAATAAATGCAGCCTTGCTCAGTATGAGACACTTCTTCTTCTTCAAAAACAACAACAACAACAACTTGACAACCCCAAACCTTTATGTGTATTAATGCAGTTTTTTATATATTAAGGTAAATAAACTGACTAAATGTGTTTTTATAGTTTCATTTGTAAATGTACTTTTACATTTCTATGATTTCAAGTTCTCTGCCAATCATTTATTATATAAAACTCATGTAATCACATTTTAAAACCATATTTTAATGCAGTCATGATTGTATTTTCCTTTGAGTAGTTTGTTTCATGGTTTTTGAAGATGAGGACATGTCAAGCAAACTGTATACAGTATGTCTGATCCAAATTATACATGATCATATTAGTTAATTGCACTTTATTAATTACATTTAGCATTGATTTCTTTCTGCTATCCATCAGACCAGACCTGCCACCCCAATTTTGGGCCACAACCCACTAGTGCTGACAATATAGTAAAGGAGACGTCAAAAACAATTGACTCCAAACCACCATGATGTAATTTAATTTGTTTAAAGGTGCTGTATGAAAGTTTTTGACTCTACTAAAGCATAAAAATAACATAATATGTTTGCAGATATTTAAGAAACATGCTAAGTTAACATACTTGTTTATCTGAAAAACAATGCTACAGTCAGTTATTCTCCTTTGAAAATGTGCTTTCCGAGCCGGAATGTCGGTCTCTGTTTTGGTTTGTGAAACCCGCCCACTGCTGCCAGTTTACCCAATTGTATTTCGGCACCCCCGGGTTGCCAGTTGGCGGGAAACACAGCGTATTTCATTTCAGTCATGGAAGCTGGCAAACGATCTGGCAACCTGCGTGTGCTCAAGTCTGAGGAGGAGGGACCGGGTGAAAAAAACTCTCTCCAATATTTTTAATTTGGACTGCAATACCTAGTTCAACCACTCGGTGTCAATCCTACATACAGCACCTTTAATGAATAGTCCAATTTTTGTTGTATATGATGTTTGCACAGATCAGTGTAAGTTTATAGTGTAAGTGCCTCACTTCGGAAAATATAACAGTTAACAATAACATAATATGTTTGCAGATATTTAAGAAACATGCTAAGTTAACATACTTGTTTATCTGAAAAACAATGCTACAGTCAGTTATTCTCCTTTGAAAATGTGCTTTCCGAGCCGGAATGTCGGTCTCTGTTTTGGTTTGTGAAACCCGCCCACTGCTGCCAGTTTACCCAATTGTATTTCGGCACCCCCGGGTTGCCAGTTGGCGGGAAACACAGCGTATTTCATTTCAGTCATGGAAGCTGGCAAACAATCTGGCAACCTGCGTGTGCTCAAGTCTGAGGAGGAGGGACCGGGTGAAAAAAACTCTCTCCAATATTTTTAATTTGGACTGCAATACCTAGTTCAACCACTCGGTGTCAATCCTACATACAGCACCTTTAAGTGAGGGTAACAGAACATGAGGCCGACCTTCTCTAAAGCGTCATAGTCCATCTTAAAGGCCCAAAGCTGCAAGCGGGCGGACAGCTCACTGATGGAGGACAGAATGAGGAGGAACTGCTCTGCGCTGCCCAGCGGAGTGTCAGGGTTCGCCAGCTGGGCCTCCTGAATCTTCTGCGTCTCCTCCTCCGTAGGAATCATTGTCAGGATTTTCTACAAAAGAGCATGAGACCCAGCAGGGAGTGTTAGTATCACTGTCAGAAACCATTGTATATGGGGATTCACACCTAGAAAGGCATTCGCTCCATCAATCATGTGAGCGCTGATGAATAACAACACCTGGAAAGACACTGCATTACTCAAAAATGTGTGAAATGATGACTATTTCATTGCTATTTCATCTGCTACGGGCATATCCCGCCGTTGCACAACTGAATAATTGAATAGAAAAGGTAATTTCTCCTGACCAGAACAACATTTCGGATAAAATCTTGAGAAACATAAATTGCGGTTGTCTGTGAGAATATAACGCTCTCTGTAGAGACATAAAGGGTGGAGAGAAACACTCTAATCCATTTTTCCCATGACGAAAGATAAAAAATTACAGATTTTATGAGAAAATGGGAGCTCCATTATTCACATGTTGATATTGAGACATTTACCTCAGATCTGTATCATGGGCTGTAACAGCCTAAATGAAGCATTTTTCTAACCTTTAATCTTTGAGATGAATTACATGGCTGCTGCCAAAAATGCTTCAGTTTTTGCAGGAAATCCACATAATATTTAAAGTCGCCGGCCAAACCAACTTGCTAAACATTAGTTTTAAGGGTAAAATCTATTGGTTTTGCGGAAATCCAAAATAAATGTGTATGCTCTCAGGGCAAAGAGGTTGAGTTATTTTGGACACGAGCTTTGACTCAATGCTTTTGGTTTGCTAACTCGAGTCTGTATGTCTCTGTCTTGTTGAACACAGTTGTAGAAAACCATGTATTTTGGTAAAAATATGCTTTCATGTAGCAGTCTGGGGATGATCATAAATGCCTGAATGATTGATGCAACGAGAGAAAGAAAGAGAAAGAGAAAGAGAAAGAGAAAGAGAAAGAGAGCGAAAGTGAACCGAAGAGTGGTTCAAGGAATATTTGACTCACGTGGACTTAAAACAAGGTTGGTATTAAGTACAGATGTGTTTTCTGCATGGTAACCTGTCTGGCATTAAAGTGTAACTATGCATTGTACTAGCTTTATAATTGAAACGTATGTATTGAGTTTTATTGTAGCTTTTCTTAATAATTTCATCATGTCGAATTTGCTTCATTACTTGCGGTTGATTTGGCATAATTTGCGAAACGGAATGTGATTTTAAACCGGTGCAGTATTACCTCTATGCCCTCTTTGCTCAAGGCGTACTCGTCAAAGTTGAGGATGGCTGTTTTGATGGTGCGAGGAGGCGGCAGGACCGTCAGACCAATGTTGATGGCATTACTTCTTTTGGAATCCAGAACGATGACTTGCTAAACATTAGTTTTAAGGGTAAAATCTATTGGTTTTGCGGAAATCCAAAATAAATGTGTATGCTCTCAGGGCAAAGAGGTTGAGTTATTTTGGACACGAGCTTTGACTCAATGCTTTTGGTTTGCCAACTCGAGTCTGTATGTCTCTGTCTTGTTGAACACAGTTGTAGAAAACCATGTATTTTGGTAAAAATATGCTTTCATGTAGCAGTCTGGGGATGATCATAAATGCCTGAATGATTGATGCAACGAGAGAAAGAAAGAGAAAGAGAAAGAGAAAGAGAAAGAGAGCGAAAGTGAACCGAAGAGTGGTTCAAGGAATATATGACTCACGTGGACTTAAAACAAGGTTGGTATTAAGTACAGATGTGTTTTCTGCATGGTAACCTGTCTGGCATTAAAGTGTAACTATGCATTGTACTAGCTTTATAATTGAAACGTATGTATTGAGTTTTATTGTAGCTTTTCTTAATAATTTCATCATGTCGAATTTGCTTCATTACTTGCGGTTGATTTGGCATAATTTGCGAAACGGAATGTGATTTTAAACCGGTGCAGTATTACCTCTATGCCCTCTTTGCTCAAGGCGTACTCGTCAAAGTTGAGGATGGCTGTTTTGATGGTGCGAGGAGGCGGCAGGACCGTCAGACCAATGTTGATGGCATTACTTCTTTTGGAATCCAGAACGATGATCTCCTGACGCTTCCCATCTGCTGCAGTTTTCTGAAATCAGATATATAAACAGATCATCAGAGTTATTCATAGTGACTATACTTTGAGTGGTCAAGACATCAAGGTTTTCTGGTTGGCTTCACTAGACAAAATAGAACTGTATTCAGACAAAACAAAACAAATGCCCATAGTCTATGATTTTGCCCAGTGAATTTGTATTCTAACAATGTCAAACGGTTCACACACATGCATCACAGGAAAATCTTAAGATTTTTGTGATTTTTAATACCAGATCTCAATTCATATGTTTTGAAGGATAATATTTTGTGGTAAAAATGCCATTTAAAAACTTTAGACATTTAAAATTTTAAGAGTCCTAATATCATGTCTAACATTTTACACATCAGCTAAGTAATATTATCTCACTTTATGACACAATTAAATAATACCATTACACATGTTGCCTAAGCTTAAAAACGGTTTAGATAAAACAGTTACTTATGGTTCTACTTATGGTTATGTTTCACAGAATGTCGTTTTAAGACTTTTTAGGCAAGAATGTAGTTGTGTAAACTTCAAATATGCAGTTTATTAATAAAGATAGCTCCTATTGAAAATTAGATTTGACGTTTTTGAAGAGGATGCATTAATCTGATCATAGAATCCTGAAACAAACATATCACAGTTTCCACAAAAATATTAAGCAGTACAAATGTTTTCAACATTAATAATAATAAAATAAAAGTTTCTAGTTCCCACAACAAGCCTGCTTCGCCCATCACGATACACATCTATTCTCCCACACCTAAAATGAAATACGGATCCTTCAGTCTGTTCTAACTCTCACGCTGGCCACTGAGCTGAATAGGAAAGGCATTTCTTTAATGTGGATAATTACCTAAAAAATGGCTTCCTGAGATATGAACAGAAAACCGGGATATATTTAATGTTTACTCGCCAAAAAGGCACGCAAGCACCTGAGGGCTATTTTGGGACTTTGATGGAGAATATTTCTGGAGGAGCAGAGCCATGATGGTATACTCCGTCTGCTGCCAAAGAGGGGGAGAGGAGGGGCTCAGAGGAAAAAGGGAGGGAGAATGGGTTGAAAATGAAAAACAGCTGGAAAAGATTGCTCAGAGCAGAGAGGAGAGGAAATCCCATGCAGGCCACATTTCTGAGACACCATCATAGAGCAAACAAGCCAAATAATATGATAGATCTTCATCTAAGAACATCAATTAATTTCCAACACTTAAAACCTGTGATGGTGAACATCAGTGTTCATTCTACCAGGTCTGGGATTTATCTCTGTACATGAAAAATAATGTACATGAAAGAATAAAATTACCTTTGTTATACAACCTTGAATGATGGTGCAGTTCATGTTTCAGTGTATAGCACACACACAAATTTAGAGATCCTCATAACAGGCTGTATTGATTAGGTTAAGAATGTTTCAGCCAAGCTATGACTTGTGACTTGACTTTGTTTTGAGTGGCAGCAGGATTTATGGATCCCAGAAAGCACCTTTGATGAAGCTTTTAGGTAATACAAGGAATCCATCATAGCCAATCAACCAACCTATTACCATTCTGACCTACATTCTGCAGCTCTTTTTTAAACACGTGCGATCATGTCATAAGAAAGAGCTGTGCAGGCCGCACATGGACAACGGAAGGTGTCAGAATTCATACCATGTGTTACAGAAGAAAGGCCCAGAAAAGATCAAAGTAACTTCCTAGCAGCTATAGCTTGTGTTCACATGTGCTGATAAAAGCCAGGTAAAACCAAAAGTAGAGCAATATATATATAGTCTGACCACAAATGATCTGAGTAATTTGATTTTGGTCAAAAAATGGTGACATTAAAATAAAATAAATATTTGTTAATTAGAGTTAATAGCTTCATGTAGTGTTTTTGATCATATTTTTTGTAAAGTCACCATTCGATTAGTGATTAATGTTCTGTAAAGTTTCTTCCATTTTAGTAAATATATACAACTTATTTTGGTACACAAAAGTAACTTTATATAACCTTTCCAGTTTTTTCAACAAACTGATACACACATTAGATAAACTAAGAAAGTTTTACATCACTTTAATGTATTATTAATGCTCAGGTTAACTGAAAATGTTAAAAGAGTTCATAAAACTTACATTATTCTGTTTGATGTAAGCAAGCTGATACAACAGTTTTTCCATAAGTTGATTATACTGATAAGACCTAAACCTAAATATTTATTTATTTATTTATTTGTTTGTTGATTGATTGATTGATTGATTGATTCATTTATTTACATTTAGTAATTTAGCAGACACTTTTATCCAAAGCGACTTACAAATGAGGACAATGGAAGCAATCAAAATCAACAAAAGAGCAATGATATACGAGTGCTATAACAAGTCTCAGTTAGCTTAACACAGTACACGTAGCAAGGGTTTTTAAAATAATATAATAAATGAAAAGAAAACAGATAGAATACAAAAAGATTAGAAAGCAAGTGTTAATTTCATTCATTCATTCATTTACATTTAGTAATTTAGCAGACACTTTTATCTAAAGCGACTTACAAATGAGGACAATGGAAGCAATCAAAATCAACAAAAGAGCAATGATATACGAGTGCTATAACAAGTCTCAGTTAGCTTAACACAGTACACGGGCACAATAAAGCGCCGTTCACTTGCAGACCGCAAGCTTCTAGAGGGCACATAAGTCTGAAGTAATGAATTTAGGTAAAGGGGTGCAGAGCCAGTGGTGGTTTTGTAGGCAAACATCAATGCCTTGAATTTTATGCGAGCAGCTATTGGTAGCCAGTACAAATTGATAAACAGAGGTGTGACGTGCATTGTTTTTGCCTCAATAAAAATTAATCTTGCTGCCGCGTTCTGGATTAATTGTATAGGTTTGATAGAACTGGCTGGAAGACCTGCCAAGAGAGCATTGCAATAGTCCAGCCTGGACAGAACAAGAGCTTGAACAAGGAGTTGTGAAGCATGTTCCGAAATAAAGGGCCTGATCTTCTTGATGTTGAATAAAGCAAATCTGTAGGACCGGACAGTTTTAGCAATGTGGTCTGAGAATGTAAGCTGATCATCAATTATAACTCCAAGGTTTCTGGCTGTTTTTGAAGGAGTTATGGTTGATGTGCCCAACTGGATGGTGAAATTGTGATGAAACGATGGGTTTGCTGGAACAACAAGCAGTTCTGTCTTGGCATGGTTGAGTTGAAGGTGATGGTCCTTCATCCAGCAAGAAATGTCTGTTAGACAAGCTAAGTACCTAACTGATAGGTAAGACTCAAATCACTGGAGTGCGGTTCCTGAGATACCCTTTGCCAATAGGGTTGACAGGAGGATCTGGTGGTTAACCATGTCAAAAGCAGCGGACAGATCCAGCAAGATAAGTATTGAGGATTTGGCATCCGCTCTTGACAGTCTTAGGGCTTCAACAACTGAGAGCAAGGCAGTTTCGGTTGAATGTCCACTTCTGAAACCAGACTGGTTGCTGTC